CTATTTATGGGGACTATTAGATTGGCTTATTTATGGGGTCTGGTCATTGGGTCGTTCCTATATTGCAGATATCAGACATGCATATTTTTCTTATCTTTTTATTAACTTTGGTCCGATGTTTCCAACATCGGAACATGTATTTTTAAAAAATTATGAGGTATTGAGCAACTTTGGACTGATCCCTATACTTTAAAAACCTAAAAAAACATAAAATGAAATAAAAAAGTAGTGGAGATGCTCACTCTACTTTATTACTTCAACTGGTATAATCTAGCTCAAAAAGAAAAGAAATTATATATGCAAATGGTACAATTAAGTCCCTCCAGAAGTATGCGGAAGGACAGAACATCACTGAAACCGATCCAGAACGAGATGCTCACTCTACTTTCTTACTTCAACTGGTTGCTTGTCAGAGTAATGTAAGACTCAAGAGTGATTGTCACAACCCCGCCCCCCAACCCTTATTCCATACTCGACAGAGGGTGATCGAGTGCGGGTTCGTGATTCCAAGGTAGCGTATGTCACTCAGGTCGGAGTGGACTCAACGCTCGGTGATCAAAGCAAACAATGAAAAGAACTGCAACAGTAATTCTAAGAACAGACGAATATTTAAATTTGGAGAATCCATACATCATTAAGTATTGTACTACATGAAATTTCTTCCTAAAATATTACACTTGAGTTTGAGGCATCAGGGCCCAATGTTACATTTTTCCCAAAATAAACAAAAGTTAGGGCTAAGCAGCCCAAACACATACAAGGTCATAATTTCTTCTTAACAGGGGTGTGACTTCGACTCCCAGCCGTAAACTACGTGCTTCTGGCCTCGACCTGTCGCTATTAATCTACAAGGAGGGGAGATACAATGGGATGAGCTATAAAGCCCAGTAAGTAGATCTAGGTGCTATGCATCGGTATTGAGTCTATCTATGTGTAATTATTTCCATTATAAGCAATCATAGTGCAAATGTCATACAAAGCAGAAATCGCATCAATGCATCTATTACAGGTGTCACATCAAAATATCATACTTATTATTCAGCCAATACAATCATTATCATTCACATGAATAATTCTAGTATTATCCACTCACTTAGTTCGCCTACTCTTGAAGTAATATCTATATTCATCAGGCCAAGCCAATTCCATTGTTTAAGACTTCTACCATCCTTCAGGATGGAGGACAATGACAAGTGGGTCACCCACTCTGTAATGTCCTCATACTCACGCACACGGTCCCCAGCGCGCTTTGAGGTCTCGATAGGCACTTACCTTGCAAGGCATCACTTACTAGTCTCATCATATGAATTTCGAGCCTCCCATTTCACTATCACCTAACTCCCTTCCATTTCACTTTTCTCAGTATAATAGTACCCGCTATCGATGAGTATCCCATCGCGTAGTAGTCAATATTACAATTATCATAACATGTTCAAGCATTAAATTTACTCATACTTAGTCAGTGCCTTATAACAGATAATTCTAATCTCATTTTGTAAGGTCTGAGTCTTGTTCAGAAATAACCAGCTATCATGTACACTTTGCCGCTTAGCATGGAACATCCATCATAAAAGGGCTATCACATGGCACTTACACTGATCAATTAGCATTCATGACACTTTATCACATTAGCACTACGGCATTTATCATGTAACATTTATCGTAGAGTTATCATATGGCATTTATACTTATCGGTTATCACTTATCACATGGTCACAGAGCATTATTCACATAACACCGTGGCACTTAATATGTAGCATTCATCACACGAAAACTACCACATGACACTCTCGCTTATCGATTATCAAGGAAAATACTTTGCCACTTTAGTTGACCAGTGAGTAGTCCAGTAAAAGACAATACAAGACAAGTACAGAATTAAATTTTGTGACGAGTAATGATGACGTACCCCTCTTCTTAGAAGCGTAACTCCCAATCTAGGGAGAATCTCAAGATGGTTCAAACATACAACTTTAAGCTTACACGTGGATCTTTAACATGGCGGGGGTTTGAAGGTGTTTGGACAATATTTGATAGGTCAAAAGCTCAGCACAAAGTGAGTGATAGTTGCTGGAATTTCCTGCAACTGTGAATTAATAATATACCCTCATATTTCGGGGCATAACTCTCAATCTACGAGGAGTTTTAAAATGAGTTCAACATGCAACTTTAAGCTCATTCATAGATCTTTCAAATGGTGGTGGTTTAAAAGCGTTTGGACATCGTTTAATAGGTCAAAATCTAGGTACAAAATAAGTGACAGTTGTTTGGAATTTTCTACAACTGTGGACATTGACATACCCCTACATTTTGGGGCATATCTCTTAACGCATATGAAATTTCAACAAAATTGAAATAGACGAGCATATCTTTCATTCAAAACCGGTTTGAGCCCATCTGGATACCGTTTGGCTTTTGAGAAGTTCAATACAAAAACCCTCACAGTTCTTAAAAATTCCTTTGCAAGTTTTGGTATGCTTCAAATACCCCATGACATCTCGCAGGCCATGATAAACTTTAATGCAAAACCTTATTCATGTTAAACTAGTCTTGCAAGTGATCTACTCCACAAATTCCCCCAAGTAGCAAGTTTATTTCCACACTCAATCAATCACTCAAACAAATTTTACTTAACCACACGCATACCCTTCATTCTATCACTTTACTTACTTCCATTACTTAAAATTGTTTACTACAATACTAAATGAAACATAAATGCTAAACCTACTTACTTTATGTTCAAATCTCCCACTCGCAGGCCACTTCAAGTTCCAAGCAATGGCTTCTCTGAGGACAAAAGTTCACTCTCACTTTGCTTCTTAGAGAGAGAGAGAGAGAGAGAGAGAGAGAATGAGACAAGTGAGGGAATCGGCGTTGGAAAGGGGAGGGGAGAGGGCTTAAGTACCCAAGGCAGGTGGGATCCACTGTAGCTGACAGGGTAGGTGAAAGTCATTGTGGTTGACCATGGGCGACGCTGACACGTACGACTCTGACAAGTGCAGCGCTGATAGGTACGACAACAGTCACATCTTCCTTTTTCACTCACAGCGCTATGCGCACACGGCGTGGCCTTCCTTTCATGCGCGATGATGCTCCACTTCACGGGCGACGATGGCATGCGCAGCGCTGGCTTTCTTCTTCTCTTCTTCCCTTTCATGCATGACGCTACTCACGCACGGCGGTGACTTCCCTTCACATGGGCACTACTCACCCTCGGTATGTCGTACGCGGCGTTACTCCTCTACACACACTGCGTTACTCCTCTATACATGTGGCGGTAGTCTTTTCTCTATACGCACAACGTTGCTTTCTCTCTCTCCTCTTCTCTCATGTGCGGTGACTGCCATGTGCGGTTTTAACTCATCAACACGCGTGGCAGCAAGCCTTCATTCTTGTTGCCGCGCATGCACCTCCTTCATCCGACTCTATTGCCGTGCGCCTCATGCCCAAGAAAATTTGTGGTCCTTACAGTGATCGCCCTTTTTTCTCCCTAATCCTGTCGTTTGGAGTTTCTTATATAGACAATTTCATACGGGAAGATTTCTTGCACCCCAATTTTTTTAGCTTTGAACTGTTATTTTCCCCTTATCCGATCTACAGTATCCTGGTCTCTTTATTCAAGTATAAAGTTCACTCATCCTTCCCGGAGGCAGTACCTTGCTCTCACCTATTCATCCTTATGCCCCTTAGAGGCAGTACATTGCTCTCACCTATTCATCCTTATCCCCCTTAGATCGTGTTGTTTGAATTTGTTTTTTCAGGTTATCTTTTTATTTTGAAATTTAAAGAAATTGCTTTTGATTTTTCCTCCTTAGCAATCAACCACATCTTTCTATCATTACAAATCACACCCAAATAAGACCTATCCTAGGCACTACTCAAATCAAGTTGCAAGCACATTTTTTTTATCTAGTAGTTGAAATGTTAAACATTGGGAGGAGCACATTTGCCATGAATACATTACATGTAATTGAGCCTCCTTTTTAAGAATGCTGCTTGGCATGGGTGAATAAGATTATTTACCTATTGGCAATCATTTTTCTGATAATCTTATAGAACACGTTACACGATTGATACGTCTAAAATCCTTCATGTGACTTGGCAAGTTTACTTTCGGAATCAGGCAAATAAAAGTCGAACTAACCTCCTTCGGGAGCTGGCTGTTCCTAATGAAAATCATTCAATGCCAAGAAAAGATCCTTGCCTATAACATCCTAGCTGAATATATAAAATTTCATTTCAAAACCATTGACATCTTTAATATTAGTGTTATTATGTTATAATATAACACCATTATGCTACAATAGTAACATATAATAGTATTATGCTACAATAGACAACCATTTTCACGTCCTTATTTTTACAAGGAATATATAATATAATATTCTAAACATATAATACTATTATAGTATTATCTTGAAAAATATAATACTATCTTTCATTCCAAAACCTCATGGTTGTCATCCACATTTTCAAGTCCTGGTCTTCCATCCTTTTTTTTTTTTTGGGTATCTCCGTCTATTCCTTGTAAAGATAAGAACTTGAAAATGTGGAAGACAACCATGAGGTTTCCCAAATCGAGCGGAGCATCTCACTCATTTGAATTGTAGTGTCACTACATGTTTGCGTGTGGTTGGTATAGAGCAGAGCCTCTAAACAATGAGAATAAAGCACCTACAAATAGTGTCGAGAAATGTTGTTTCAATACTAAATATCTTTGTGATCGCCTTAAAATATATTTTCAACTCAAATTATAAAATTTAAAGCTTAAAAAATAGTGTAGATCAAGTAGATCTATGAATACTTGAAAATCTTGAAAAATGATGGTCCAAAATTACATTCCAAGATGCACTATTTCCAATACTTGAAATCCATTTTTTTCTGATGACCATGCATCTTGAAGTCGAGATGATCAATTTGAAGATATCTGGGCATCAAAACAACGTCTTTTAATGAAATTTTTGAGGTGCGCTCTAATTTGATTGTTTAGAGCCTCGCGCTTATATAAACTTTTTCCTACATTAAAAGAGGAAGCCCAATACTTCACCCCCACAAAATTTGCAAGTTGTAATGTAAATATGGTCAATGAAATTACATAACAAATTGAAACACAAACATGACATCCAACCAAATGGTTGTAATGTTAGGTTTGTGAATTCTGCGCTTTCAATCTTCATCCTCATCTTGGTTCCCTGAATGGTTAATTTTTTGAGCGAGGTACATTTCACCAACCTGTCAGATTCAAAAACACAACCAAATTAAAATATGTAGTTGGAATGACCATAAAGAGAGATGGAACTATGAACCATTGATTGGATAAAACACAAGGGATTGTCTTGCCTGCTCAGAACATGTGGCTTGATCAGGATTCTTGTCTTCACGAACCCGTAAAAGACGGGGGAATCGAAGAGATATGCCCTATGAAACAAAAATTGGCAATCAAGAGAAAAAGGAACTTGTAATTTTGATGTGAAGAGCATGATAAACAGATTATATGTAAAGAGTTGCTAGGATAGACAGCATGATGGACAGATTACTATATTTTCATAATTTTTACCTTGTTTGGGTCTATTACACCACTGGCTGCACGGTGGACAGGGCTAATACTCAAATCTGCAGCTTTGACCTCCCACACCTATAGAAAACTAGGTCAATTTAGTAAAACAGAAACTCATATTACATAACGCTTCATATACGATGACAGTCTGCCCATGGTTCAAGGAGGTCACAATCATTAAGACATCTATATCATCATAGTTTTTTTCCAATTAATTGCGGTTGGCTACATGAATCCGGGTCCACCATTCCGCTCTATTTAAGGTCATATCCTCTGTGAGGCCATAAGTCCCCATATCTTTTTGGACTACTTCCAACCACGTCCTTTTGGGCCTACCCCTTGCCCTTTTCAACCCAGGTCACAATCATTAGGTGTCAAATGCAAATTCTGACACTTAGAGTTGTGTCACAAAACTCAGGAAATTTTATTTTCGACTTTAGCCCAATCAACAGCAGAGCCTCATCATACCTGATTTACATCTAACAGCCAATAATGATTGTGATCGTGTACCAAAAGTAAATGGTCTTCTCGTAAACTATCCATTACAAAACACCTAAATTTCATGATTAGCATTTTAGTTAACAATGCCAAAAAAAAAGACTAAGAGCAGCACTACAATGACAGGAGTTTCCACATAAGTAATCATTCATTGAAATCCTTAGTAAAATATCAGAATGGGTGCATGCAAACGGTCGTCTGCTACTTGAAGAATACCTCCAGATATTGAGACCATAAACAAGTTAGAAAGAATATATATCCACATATTGAGAATTCAATTAAGATCTCCAAAGAACAAAGATGGAAGAGGTTTGAAATGCTTGCCAAAACTGTCCAATCTAACTGCAGTATAAGAATGAGGACGACATTTGCCTCCTCTCGAGAGAATAATGCAAGTATATTCTGCTTGATCGCAATAGTTCAATATTGATGCTACTGTTCTTGTAGCAAATGATTGATGGCCAAATCACTTTGGATCCAGTGTCCACATTAAAAAAGGAAACAGAAAAGCAGAAATAGAGCTATTCAGCATAAGAAGAAACAACAATACCTCAGCTGGTTCGAACCATACATCTGGATTCAATGTATCCCCATATCGATAGTAAGACTGAAAGGGTCGGGAGGAGGAAAAAAAATTAGAAAAAAGAAAGAAAAAAACTTTAACGGATTAATTTTAAGAAGAATTAAATAACTACCTTCGGTGCAGAAATAACTTTATCACGAAGGCTGGCAGAGCGCTCTTCGAGCATTGCTTCAGAAAATCCAGTGCCTGAATGACAAAAAATCACATTTCCATGCTACATGAACCTCCGTCAGGAAGCATGACTAGATGTGTTCAATAATTTATTACGATAGGATTTCGGGCTTGGGCTTGATTGTAACTAAGTAGTTGACGTTTGCAACATAGCATCTCCAGCTCAAATCCTATACTGAACTATAAAAAAAAAAATTGAAAGAAAATGTCTATAATATTCAAAACCATAAAGTGATTTATATCTACCAATTTTGCATATGCTCTGATACTCTTCATTGTGCTCATCATAGCACGCGAGAAGGAATGCACCATAAACTCCTGCAGAAGAAATAGATAGAGTGGTCTATCAGCCTAGAAAACAGACGAATGTGAAAAATGTAACAGAAATTATATGTGATAGGGCATTATAAAACTGTAGATAGAATAAAAACATGTTGAAATAATCAACACAGATCAGTTGTGGAAGTGGATAAATCATACCCAGAAGTGCATTCATAAAGCATCTGTTCCAGTAGTTACCTGTACGTTTTCCTCGACCATGAAATGCAGCAATTGGAACCAAATCAAGAGAATCCCCAACACTGTAGAGATCACCATACATCATTGATGTGCACGATGTCAGACATATCAAAATAATGTTTTGAAGAGATGAAACTGAAATTGACATTTAAATATTTAGGGCTAGTATGAACAGAAACAAATGCAGACCAAAACCATCTTATTTTTCATTTTTACCCAATAAAGAAAGCTGAACATTGTCCTTATCATATGAAGACCATAAAGATAACCCAACCACGTGGTTCCAACAGATAGGTCCCATATAGAGAGCCAACTGGCAAATACTTAACTGGTCAGAACGGTCAGAACCAACCAGCTAAAGTGGCCAATAATTGAGTGGAGATGCCAGTAAGACTAGTACACGGTAGAAGTTATTCTCTCTACAAAATAACGATAAAAATAGTCCTGACAACTCTGATCCAAAAAGGAAACTGACCTCAGACTTTCGCAAAAAATTGAAATACTAAGCCGTTCCCAGAATGCTGCAAAGCAACCCTTTGGACAAATTATACACCATTTACCTGTCCATATAATCCTTCTTCAATTTCAGCCAGTTATTAGACCTCTTTGCCGGCTCATATGTTGCATCTCTATCTAATGTCTTGATGATCAATCCTTCACAACTGCACCATTGGCATATACAACATTATAACATCAATGAGAACAACAAATCTATGCAAATGGAAGAATTGAGTTCCCAAGGTTAAAGCAGTAAATCAGCAAACAGCACGACAAATTTACGGCAAAACCTAAAATTTCTATTGTCACTATTTTCAAGTTCTGCGCATGTTCATGCACAAAATTTTGGGAAAACTAACAGAATAACCCCAAAGAAAAGTAATCAACAACCAACATTGTAGAAAACACGAAAAACCTTAGATATGGTAAATACTTCTGCTATTGAAGTAAAAATCACATTAGCAGTAGCTTGTTCAAAAATTTCGAGAAGGGCATATTAGCAATTTTAAATTTTTAAAAAATCCACTCATCATTGGAAAAGTCAAAAGAATCTTTTTAAATTTGAAATTGAGTTTTGGAGGAATTTTAAAAAGACAAAACACCATTCCTAAACTACATGAACTATTTATAGTCCAAAGCCATTTTTAAACACATAAGGATATTTTATGGACACGTTTTTCTGTAGTAAATTAAATAAGTTCACCATTATTGTGGTGTATTCAATAAGGATTATCAAACTCTTATATAAATTAAAAGCGGTTATATCAATACTTCAATGAAAAATCCAATTAACACTCCCATAGAGCTACTGAAGGATCTTGAGACATTTTTGGAGGGTTTTTGAGCCCCTAATTCAATAAATTTGGGCTTCTTATTGTGTAAGTACCACTGTTTACTAGACATGCAAATCACCACAGGTATCTCCATGCACTAATAGCATCATTTTTACTGGAATGTAAAACAAATAGAAAAATCTTTTGAATGAAAAATCTAATAATTATTTTAGCAATTGTCACAAATAAGAATCTCAAAGAGGAAAACTTAAAAGAATACCCAATAGTTTCTACAACCATCAGATCAACTATCAAGTATAGCAAAACTGTACAATAAAAAATTTCTAACCAATTTAATGATAACTGGGCAATAACCTTCATTATATTTAAATGCGGATATACCCTTGCAAATAAGTGAGGGTAAACGAGGGGAAAACCATGCCACACTCAATCCTCTCCATTGGCTATTGAGGCCCTCTAGATATATCATACCCATGAGACACATGAGAAAATCATCAAGCAACACATTAATACCATGACATTTGATAATACGGCAATGCAGAAAGTTAATTGGGAAGAATGGAGAAGACCTCTGGTTGATAGCATTATCAAGAAACTTTTGTATTTCTTCCAGATCATCTGATGTTATTGCAGTTGCAAACTGAAATTCACCCTCAACTTCTTGAAATGAATCATACAAAAGCTGCAGTGATGCACCAATTTCATGCATGAGATCTATGTCCTTAGTACATAGTAATACTTGTAAGACAGTGTCAGTTATGATTGAAAAATTTTAACAAACTTCAAAAACTAAGACAAATATACAAGCACTTCATACTATAGAATATGTACCTATTGATGATATGCATGAAG